CAGCACCTCGTGGAATCCATGCCACGACGAATTGATGCTGTTTTGAGGGCCAAAGGCGGTCCAACACGCAACTAGTGAGGTATCTCTAATTTTGTGGACATGGAGTGTAGTCTGATTTCAACTCTTTCGTGCCCAGAGGTTCCATTTGGAACCACCGATTTTAAAAAATGTTATCTTTAGATTCATGTTAGACCGTGCCGATGGCCACATTTGACCGGTAGACTGATGGCGGGTGTCCATTAGAGGTATGAAGGAGGGAACTTTGACATTCTTGACATTTTCTGATCCAAGTGCTACTTTGAAAAAAAAAAAAGAATTGCTATTCCACCTTATTGCAAGTTCTAGGATGGAACATAGGAAATAAAATGCCTGTTGCAAATCCAATGTAATATTTAAAAAATCCACATTGAGGAGCCTGGCTTCAGCATGAAGAAAACATTTCTTCTCACTATTGGNCAAATCCAATGTAATATTTAAAAAATCCACATTGAGGAGCCTGGCTTCAGCATGAAGAAAACATTTATTCTCACTATTGGAGAAATGGCAAAAGCATGAGGTGCACCACTGGTGCACCTCAAGCTTTCCCCATCAGACCTGGCCCCAAATAAAACTTAAAAGTGGAGGGGTTAATGCCTGAGGGTGGATTTTTGAACAGAGAACAATCTGATAATGCAGCTTTATTCTGGGGTAAACACATATTTCCTGGAAATAAAGCAGCGTTATCAGATAGTTCACTGTTCAAAATCTACCCTGAATGTGCAAATATAAATGTATATATAGATATCGGTATCGGTTCTTTTCCAATATCGGAATTATCGGTATATTGGATATCGGCCAAAATTCAATATCGTTGCATCTCTAGTTATGATTCATTAATCATTTATTTCTAACAGTAGGCTTCTTTTAATTTATTTCAGGAGGCTTTTGATGCAAATGATTTTCCTAATCTGGTGCTAATGCAATGAGAAGCTGTTTGCAAGCATATGCCAAGGTTTCCCTAAGGTCTCATGTGACTGCATCAGATTCAATTGATGAAAGTAGACTATGCTCATAATAAGACCAAACAATTCATCTCACTCACCTTGTGATCAGGATTGTCAACAACAATGAAGACAACAAAGATGCCTGATTCTTGGAGGAGTCGAACAGCATCACGGATGCAGGTGGCCCCCTCATAGAAGAGGCCACGGCCATCAGACACAATGAGGAGGAGCTGGGCCACATCCCATGTTGAACGGCGGCCTCGTAGTTCCATGCGAGATGATGCAAACAACTGATTCGAAACACTCAGAAGCTCAGAGATACGTGTCTTCTTCTGATCAAATGTGAACTGCTCCAAAAGCCTGTTATAGAGAGTGAGCTCAACTTGTTCACTATGTCCATGTAAAAGGACAAAAGTATAAGGCCCGTATTCACGACGCTCCCCTAACCGTTAACTCAAGAAAGTTAGGGATCCCCTAGATGATCCGTATTCACGTTCCTCCCCTAGCTAAGGGATCCTTAAACCCAACTCAAGTAATAGAAGATAGGGGAGCTTCCAGTTTTCCCTCAAGAAGCTTGCGTGTTCGATGCACTCACCGGCAGCACTTCATTCATTGATTTTTCTCATGGCATTTCGTCACTTTTGAGAGCATCTAAGGACGGAAATCCCCCTAAAAATACATTTGTACTTTCATTTCACGTTGTCCACTTGAAGGATGATGTCGTCAAGTGAAACTCGCTGCTGCTATATAGAAGTCACGGCAAAAAATTATATCTCCCACTCCAAATTTGAGAAAAAAATCTCTGCTCTGACTACCTCGTATAGCTATTACCACGAAATTCGCACTGAGCCTAGGCCGAAATGTTTTCAAGAGTTTTGTGGGATTTCATTGAAGTGCTTTGTGGCGAGTTAAGGCCATTAGTCATATTTAAAAGAGGTTGGAAGCCACTGCAGTGGACCGGAGCGCTTGCTGGTAGTGTAGCGGAGGAGACGCCTTCGTTCTGCTGTTTGCATGCCATGCAGATCATACCAAACATTTAGTGCATTAAAATTCAATCGTTGGCTTACCCATTGCTGGATATAGTTTTGATAACGTTCTTTTAAAATAATAACAGATCAACAGTTGTTAATACAGAGTTTGCAATAAGGCCCATATTTACGTCACTCTCCCAGGAACAGTATATCGTAACAGTTAGGAGACCCTAAGGTAAGGATTTCCTTAAAAGTGGCAATCACGTTGGTCTGTTAGGGGGCCCTTAGCTAGGGAATCCTTTAGAAAGTTGGGCGCATGCACTGGAATGCTTTCATCTTGGTGAACAAAAGTCAGAGGATCTTTGCTCATAAATTGATTGTTGCTTTTTTTTTCTCGAGTCTGACACTTTTTGATGACTGATACCAAATTATAATACTTCCCATGTATTAGTTCCAAGGTCAAATGAAGATGTGTCCTACTCGTCTGAAAAATTATTGTAGTTGACCTCGTGAACTCTCATTGTTTCGTCTAAAATATTCCATTGCAATGATTTTCTTCACATTAGCCTGAGTATCGGCATAGGCCCAAGCTGGTACTCAACGCTAATGCAAAACAAATTTATATTCAATTTTAAAATTACAATTGTACTTTTACCTGCCATCAATGCTGCAACATGCATGACAGGAGTGTCACTCAAATGATAAATTCCAAAAGAGCATGATGATCTATATCAGCGGTATTCAAAAAGCGGCCCACAAAGATTAACTAATAGGGTAAACTACCCAGTCTTTGGCCACACTGATACGACTCCCATAGTTTGTGGACACTCAGTGCGCACACCGGGAAACACTATTAATAGGTCCTCGTACGGGAAAATGTAGATAGAATGCTTGAAAACGGCCAGATTAACTAATTATGCTGGATTTAAGCCTCACTGGTCAACAACTGGAGACTGGCCAGAAACAGGGGTGTTTACCCTAATATACTAATTCACATTTTGCCGTTTTATCAGCACTCATGAATAATTGCGATGAACAATTTTTTAAATCCCAGACTTGGAATCCTTCGCTGTAAACAGACAAGTTTAGTCATTGTTTAGATATTCAGATACTTATAATTCATGTTTACAATTAGATACTTACGAGTATGTTTTTAGGTGTGCACCAGCTGAACTTTCATGAAATTCGGAGCATCCACCCAAGCAGCATGTTTACGTAAACATGATATCAATTTTTTGCAAACAATGTAAATTTCTTGCGATTGCCATGAAAATGACATCACCTTTACGTAAAATTTACGTTCCTATATTTATGTCACCAAATTGTCCGTGTATTTTACGTAAACTAGACGTCACTCCATCTGACGTGAAGTACATGATATCANTAACATCACACTTTCCATATGAAACTTTAGCTGACCATCCCGCAGCTGCAATACCAAGATTCCTCACTAGATGGAACCCTTGTTCCCTGCACCCTACAAATGCTATTAAGTACTGGCTTTCCCGATATAGTATCAGGTTTTCTTACCATCCTTTCATTTTTTATTATGCAATCGATGAAAATATATATGGAAAGCAGGAAATTATTACATATTTTGAATAATATATGACTCAGGGAACCATTAAATGCTGAAGCTAAGCTTGTTATTACAGCAGTGCACAGGAATATGGAAGAGTAGAATCCCAGCTCCGTAAGTATTATACTATCTCTTTCCTTAATGGAAGAGAACTCCTCCAAACATCTATTCCTCCTCCCGAGATCCTGGTACTCTTGAGTGCTAGTGATGATGAGTACTTGGGTACTTGTCCAAGTAACCTTGAGTTCCAAAGTATGGAAAGAAACGGGAGAAGTACAGTGAATCAATTCTCTTCAAAAGTACGAATTAGCTCGTTAAATATGCATGAATGTTAAGGGGAAATCAACATCAATTTTACGTAAAATGAATGTAAGAATGCTGTTGGGGATGTAAACGGGAATGTCGATTTTACGTAAAATTTACGTTAATTTTATATCACCGTTTACGTATCACAGAGGTGACATTTCTGCAAACATGTTGACATTATCTTGATGGTTTGTGTAAAATAGATATAAAATGGACAAAAAAATTTACATTCAGTTTACGTAAAATAAACATGCTGCTTGGGCATGCACTCCAGAGAAAAGTGTCTTACCTCGCAAGTAAATGGTGAAGTTTATGAGAAAAAAATGAGTTTTTTTTAATCGAAAATGCCATTTGTGATAAAGCAGCACCTAGAACCGATGCCTTTACATGAGCCCTGACTCTAAGTATTGGCAGTTTTTGTGACTACAAGAGTTGAAAGTGTGTGTGGATGCGACAGGAATAGGCAGGTTCTTCTTTTCTCCCCATTTTTAAAATGGGACTTCCCATCTTAAGTATTAATAGCTTGACCAAGAGGTCGATGGCCAAATAAAGGGTTACCCATGCAGAAATGGTGGATCTTTTTTAATGCGGCCCACTCAAGGTGGAGTTGTGTCCGTGAGGCCCTCGCCTAAAAAAGTTTGGTGACCACTGTTCTACACGGACAGGTAAAAGGTTTCGCTGAATCCAATATCAAAGTCCAAATGCAAAGACCTGACGAGGGAACGCTGCTCTTCGGAAGACTGCAACGAATTCATAGGAACCTGCTAAGAGCGGCTGAAGGCTCCCCTAACTTCTCTACAACCTCCTATATCTCTTAGGGGCGCGTTTAGGGATTCCATAGCTAAGGGAGGAACGTGAATACGGTTTCCCTAGGGGACCCTTATTTTCTAGCCTTTTCAGTCATCATCTTTTAGGGAACCCTTAGCTAGGGGTCCCCTAACTCTTAAGGGATTCCTTAGCTAAGGGAGAGACGTGAATACGGCCCAAAGACTATACTCCAAATCCTTTTCTAGGTGGCATGCAAGTCAATGCAGTGATCCAGTATACAGCAGTGTGCTAACATAATTTGAAAAATGATGAACTAGACCAGGGCTTCCCAACCCAGGATGTATCAAAACAGACATCAAATACTGTATAATAAAAAAAAACAGATCAGCAGCTGAGTTTGAGCTGAGCCATACCTGAGACCTGAGCTGGGAGTGAAAGGTTCCCGGAAAGGATGAACGATATTGACATGTTCCCCAAAGGCAAGTACAGCCAGCTGTCCAGCTTCAAGGAGACTCAAGGACTTGGAAATCAAAGCCAAGGAATCAAAGGCCAATTCCTTGGCCTGACTATCGCTCATAGAAGAGGAGTCATCCAGGGCAAGGATCACCTGATACTCCCGCCGTGATGGCTTGCTCCGTCGCAGCCAGATGCGGTCCTTGCGGAATCCACTTGCAATGTATGGGATCACCTGTCAACATGTTATCACTACCGTCATACCTCTACTTTTGGAAAAAGTGAAGGGGAAGATATATAGCTTTCCCTGTGCCACATGAGATACTCAGATAATATATTTATTCAGCAAGACAATAGGGATTTGCAAAATCACATTTTTGTTGATAAAAATCAGTATACCTCAAGCTGGAATTAAATTTCTAATGGTTGCATCATATTCAGGGTGAATGTGCCCATATATACCTTTCTCATGTTGAGGCGCTTGCCAGAGCGATAATCGCCTTGGAGGCGGGCAGCAAGTGTGGGTTCGAGGACGAGGCGCAACTGCTCACACAGGGATTGAGCCAATGGCATGACTCGCAATTCCACTGCTTGCCAATGCTCCAACACTTCTTTACTACCTTGTCCTCCTCCAATGCTACACCACTGATCCTACTCAAAGAGGATATTCCATGGATCCAAAAAAATGGGAAAACTACAAATTCAATTTGTAGTCTTAATATAAAAATGTCCAAATACAGTCCTGGAAAGTCAATATGTATGCACATGATGTAAAAAGTTAAAAATAATGGCTTCTTGAATGAATTCAGGAATGTTTCTAAACAGGCATTTTGCTTTACTTCATCAATACTAATAGGTAATGCTGTTTTCTTAAATCATGAAGAGAGTCAAAAGGGGAAATATGTTCAACATGAGAGCACAATAGTGGAACTCTGCAGATGTGACAATGTCCATGAGGCAAACAATATGTGAGACTACTGCAAGAATAGGAGAGGACTAAGCTCACAGAATCAGGAGACTCTAGGGATCCCAAAGGGCCTGACTGAGGCTTGGGTTGGTCAAAGAGATCTAAGTGGGTCTCCATGAAGCTTTCCTCTCCTCTGGTGACAGATGAAGTAGGAACCACATCTCCAGGGATCTCTACTGCTACTGTAGGCTTTTCGGCAGATGTAGATGAAGGGTCAGGCTGTACCCTCTCTGGGTGTGGATGACCTTGGGTCAATGCCAGTTCTGATGCCTCATTTCCCTCAGCTAAAAGAAGGATAAGCAGTTAAAAATACCAATGCCAATCCCAAAGCCTCCAAACATGCAAAATAATACTGACAAGTTAGGACAAAATAAATATTGTAACATGAAGAATGGTACTTCAAGAAAAGCTACTGGACCATGCATAGAAAGCAGAGAAATGAATCACATGAGTTTAAGTCCACACAAAAAAGGACACAAGAGTTGAGCATAAAGGGCCAGATAATAGGCCTATCTATTTATCATCAGCAAATGAAGCTGATGCAGTATCTAGATCTCCTCACATATGTAACTTCATATCAAATACCTAAGAAACACATGATCAGGAGCCAATTATCTATATGCAGTGATTGATTGGAACCTGATGTCTCCTACGATTCTGCAACATATACTGAATAACCAAGAGCTCTACAATCCCAACAAAGACATGTCTGAGATGTTCCCACATGTCCCCATGTGGGAACAGTACCGGGTGTACTCAAAGTCTGGAAAAAAAAGTCTGAAACCCATGGTATTACAGATGTTTTGTGTCCAGTAATTATGTAGTTCACCATTAGCAATGGTGCTGTCAAAAGAAGAGATAATTGAAATGATTTTGATTTTGTTATGCGACCATGAAGGTTGTACTTGCCAACAGCAATGCAAACAATGTCCTCTCTGTCATTACTGGATGGCTGGCATTAAAAAGCCACTACCTATATCTGAGTCAAGCTTTCACAGCCATGTAATTTCATTTCAATTCTATTCTTTTGACAGCACAACCACAACTGGTGGATCACAATTACCTGAAATGAAAAATTACCTTAGTCACTATTGGTTACAGACTTTGTGGGCACCCTGTAACCTAACTTTTAAGTAGGACTATGCCAATTATTGTGATATCGCGTTATCCTTTGATGTGTGTCTTATCGGTGATATGTCTGCACATCATGATATTTTTAATTTTGAAAATAAACATTATTTCACTCTTCTGATGTCACTGGAGTAGGGAAATAGAGCAAACGAACCATGTCATTAAGAAAAATAATGGCTTCAGACAGTGTAAGGATTGACTGTCGACCTTGACAAAAACTGATGAGATGAGGGAGGGAGGTAGGGGGCCGTCATGGAGGGAGATAGTGGATAATCTATAGACTGCAATCCTCCCTGATGGTTTCTTTTCCTGGAAAATTTCCTTGAAGTGAATGATGGAAATTAGCACTTGGATTCAGTTATCCCCTGAGTATGATCAAACCTTTGTCAATTTTTGTGAGTGCAGTGTGAATGGAGAAGACTTGAAACTCATATCTCACCCACAAGGAAAGTCTGTGATGTTGAATGTGTTTAGAATTTATTCTCACAATGAATGCAATATCTATCCCGATATTGAAAAAGTAGTTGCATGCCTTCACTGAAAGAAAGAAAATTCCAGATTGTGGGAATACGACCAATCCTTCATGCACACAACCCCAATTCGATTGTGATGATAATTGAGTCTTGCTACCAAAAGGACCACTTTATAATTCTTTGCAACTTCTATCTGGGATAAGGTGGAAGGTGGAATTACTTTCCTAACCTACACTGCTAGCTATGAACCTGTAGAAGCAGAGCTGCAGGATGAAATGGAATCTTACAGTGGAGAAATGGAGATCAATGATCCACTATTAGGGTAGAGCAATAATGGAAGGAGGCATCCGTCGCTTGCCACCCTAGCTCACAAATATCCATGAATTCCTGGAAGTTTCCTCCCATGTGAGCAACTCTTCTCAAGACATAGATTTCTAGCAAACGTATATTGTGCATGCTTTGCAATAGAGATCATCAATATGTTCTCCCTCCTAGCTTTGAACAGCGAGCTACTATGATGTCATGCATTCAAGATCATGTCAAAATCATTACCAAAATAAAGTGGTTTTGTCCTGAAATGAATGCACCATTTATGCTAACCCCCTCATTGAAACATGGCAATATTGCGATATCGGGCGATATATACGTCAGCAAAATCGATACTTTAAAACTCCATATCACCCAGTCCTAATTTTAAGTGATGCAGAATTATGCATCTCTATGAATATTTTTAATGAACAACAATGCAAGAGCTCCCCTGTGGGCTTAATGCATCATGTATGAACAGTAAAGGCAGAAGTGATACCCTCCCATTGTGCACTGCTTGCCATTATTTCATTAATGCATCTTCACCAATTCACGCATTTGTAAAAATCCAAAACCAAGTCTCAAATAAGAATCACTTATTTGGAGTTGCAAAACTGCTGCAAAGTCCATATCATAACACATTGGCTACCAAGCATCATTTAAACAGATACTGTTGAGTATCACCAGTGATCCTCATAACAGCCATGTGATAGCAGATGTGTTAGAACATCTTTGTAGTTTGCTCAAGGCAAATCTTATGCCCTTGCTTCCATCCATTTGCAGGTAAAACTTGATGCAATTCTCATTCAGCTCTGGGAGTCTATCAAAATTGCTATTCAAAACATACCATATTTATTATATTCTAAAATGATTGTTTTCCTTTTTTTCAATGCTTAAATTCAAGGAGTCATTTTAAAATCAGCCACAAAATATACTGTCAGCTGTAAGTGACTGGATGCATGGATAAAATGAAACCAGCTATTGCCTGCAACCACTGAAACTTAAACCCAAAAAAAAAAAATTATAATCTTCAAATTAAATAAACATGGAATAAGCTAATTTGTCCTTACTCTCATCTTCCTCTTCAATATCATCCATTAGCATGGACTCCTCCTTGTCTTCGAATTGCTCTTCTGCTTCATTTGATGGAGCAGGCTGTTGCTTTGACTGTTCTTCAGTGGCTCCAGCCATTACTTGAATCTCCATCTCCTCTAATCTCTTCTCTTCCCCTTGCATGTGCTGATATGTTTCCCAATCTGATTCTTTGGATGTTGTCTTCTGATCATCCTTCTTTCTATCATCAGCATCCAAGGCAATTATATCTCGCCGGATTCCCTCTTCTGGTCGACCTGCACCAAGCACAAAGGTAAAAGGTCAAATCAAGTCACCAAGGGCAAGTTGCATTCATTTGAGGCTCACCCAAAGTCCGCTTTGTGTCTACGTCTTCCACACGTCTCTTTTTTGCAGGAAGGTGTGTCATGGGATCATCTTCATCCTTCTGCTCCATGTCAAGAGGAGCTGGGTGCTGAAGGGCAGAGCCTTCATGTCCTTGGCCTTTCTGAATCTCAGCAAGCCCAATTCCTTCCTTCTCTTTCTTCCCTTCCTCTTTTGCAAATGGTACCTAAGACAAGCAGACTCATCAATTTCAAAGCAACACTTAAAATAGAGTTAATGTTTCTCATAAATATATCAAAGGAGGAAAATCAAAACATTAATGTAGTCATAATTTCTCAGGAATCCTGACACACCCAAGATGCAAGACATTGATGAAGGCCTATCATAAACATACTACATTCAACCCCTATTACACTGCCACTTAGTAAGGTGTCACCATCACTCATCTCCAACCTCATCAGGGAGAAAACTCCCCATAAGCTTATAATAGGGAATTATGTTATTTTTATATGTCACCAAATTGGTGATGACCAACAGTGGCATTATATCAAGATTGACTGCAAGTTACCACTCATCAATTACTCTGTTCAATGCAATTGATGAGTAATTCACATTAACCTAGGTGTTATGATGTGCATGAAGTTCTGGGATTCCAAATGGAGATGCCTGCAACTGAGGCTAGCAGCCTACATAACTACTTCCAAAAGAAACTTACTTTAATAACATGCCAAAATGTTAAATGTTTTTAGAATGCATAGGATATGAGGGGTTGAAGGCATATCCAGAGGGAAAACTCACAGTCTCGCACTTCTGGCCTCTTCCTTCGTCCCCATCCGCATCATCCTGCTTCTTCCCATGTTGAGAATCCCGTGGATCTGCTTCCACATCTGGATGCTCTGACGGTCGCTGGTCCTGCCCTGCTCCCACTTCTTCCTCATGCTCCTCATTTGCCTCTTCTCCCATCTCCTCCATCTTTCCCTTCCCTTCTTCATGCTCTTCTTTCGATCCTTTTGCTTCTGGTTCTTCTGGGTTCTGGCCCAATTCTTCCTCGTCAATGGATGCTTTTTCAGCTTCCCCAGTATCCTCCAAGTCATTTGGTTCTGGTTCTGCCTTTTCTACTTCTTCCAGGTCGCACTTGGACTCTCCTTCATTCTCCTTCTCTGGTTCTTCCAAATCTATTATGCAAAAGCACATAATTCACAAATACCAGCTTGGGACTCAGGAAATATAGTGAAAATTAAAGAATGATGGATACCTCCAACACGGTTCTCATCAAAGGGGACCTCCAAGTCCTCAGGAGGGGACTGCAATTCCTCATCACTGTCCTCATCTCCCTTTCCTCCACCTCCTCCATCCTCTGTCTCTTCTTCTGGGAGTTCAAAGTCTTCTGGTTCTGGGTACTCCGGAAGATTCCCTGACCACGCACAACAAAATTTTCAAGTATATGTAGCACTGGCTGGATTTCTATTTAAAATGTGCCACTCACAACATTATGAGTTTGACTGCATATTGTATATTTAGAGATAGATGTATATTTAATTATATTCAGGTATATTCAGTGTTAGATGTACAGTGGTACCTCGCATAACGAACGCAATTCGTTCCAGCGGTGCGTTCGTTATGCGAGGTGTTCGTTATGCGAAACACAATTTCCCATAGACGTCTATGGGAAATCATGTAATCCGTTCCACGTCGCCGCGAAAAATCAAGGAAATTAGGAAAAAA